CTCTCTCTCTCTCTCTCTCTCTTCCTCTGCCCCTCTCCCCCACTTGTATTCTTTCTCAAAAAAAAAGTTGAAAAATAAAAGTCTATCTTGCTCTGGACTTTCATTTGTTGAGAGATCTTTGATTGCTGATTCTATCACTTTACTAATAATCAGTCTGTTCAGATTCTATTTTTCATTATTCAGTTTCAGTAAGAACTGAATGTTCCTAGGAACTACATGTTTCTAGGAATTTACCCATTTCTCCTCAGTTGTCCAATTTATTAGCATATAATTATTCATAGTAGTCTTTTGTGATCCTTTGTATTTCTGTGGTATCAGTTGTAATGTCTCCTCTTCTATTTCTGATTTTATTTATTTGAGTCCTCTCAAATTAGCTTTTAATTAGTCTAGCTACAGGTTTGTCTATTTTCTTCATCTTTAAAAAAAACAAAACAAAACAGCTCCTAGTTTCATTTATCTTTTCTATTGTTATTTTAGTCTTAGTTTCATTTATTTCTGCTCTGATCTTTGTTATTCACTTTCTTCTACTAACTTTGGGCTCCGATGTTTTTCTTTTTCTAGTTCCTTGAGGTGTAAACTTGAGCTATGTATTCAAGATCTTTTTGATGTAGGCATTTATTGCTATGAATTTCCCTCTTAGAACTGCTTTTGCTGCATCTCATAAGTTTAGGTATGTTGTATTTCCATTTTCATTTGTCTCAATGTCTTTATTTCTCTCTTGATTTCTTCTTCAACCCATTGGTTGTTTAGTACCATTTGTTTATTTGCTCTTGACATTGCTCTCAACACTTCTATTCAATATTGTACTGGAACCCTTAGACAGGACAATTGGCAAGAGGAATATGTAAAAGGTATCCAAATTGGAAAGGAAGATGATATGTAAATGGCATTATCTTATGTATAGAAAAGCCCAAGGAATCTACTAAAATCTATTAAAATTAATAAGTGAGTTCAGCAAGGTTGCAGGATAATAGATCAGTATACAAAATCAGTTTATTTCTGTACATTATCAATGAATAATCTGAAAATAAAATTAAGATAATACTTTCATTTATAATAACAAAAAAACAAATAAAGTACTTAATTTAAACAAAAGAAGTGTAAGACTTGTGTTCTGTAAATTAGAAGACACTGTGAAAGAAATTAAAGACAATCCAAATAAATGGAAAGACATTCATGTTCATTGATCAGGAAACATAATTTTGTTAGATGGTAACATGTCTCAAATTGATCTCCGGATTTAACAAAAGCTGTACCAAATTTCTAACTGCCATTTCTTGCAGAAATTGACAAGCTGAACCTAAAATTCATAAGAAAATTCAAGGGACCTAGAATATCCAAAACAATCTTGAGAAAGAAGAACAAAGTTGAAGATTGCTTCCTGATTTCAAAGTTTACTACAAAACCATAATAATAAATACCATGTGCCACTGGCATAGATCAATGAAATAGAATTGAAAATCTAGAAATAAATACTGCATTTCTGTTCAACTGATTTTTGATAAGGGTGCAAAAACAACTGAGTATGAGAAACGTCTTTCAACAATATGCAGGAACATTTGTATATCCACATACAAAAGAATGAAGTTGGATCTCTTTCTTACATCATACACAAAAATTAACTAAAAGTGGATCATAGACCTAAGTGTATAAGCTAAAACAAAGCTCTTAGAAGAAAACATAGGAGCAAATCTTTGTGACCTTGGATAAAGCAAAGGCTTCTTACATATGACACCAAAAGTACAAGCAACAAAAGGAAAAAAATAGATAAGTTGGACTTTATTGAAATGTAAAACATCTGCTTTCCAAATAATTTCATCAAGAAAGTGAAAAAAAACCCACAAAATGAGAGAAAATATTAGTGGAGCATGTATCTGATAAGGGACTTGTGTACAGAATATATAAAGAATACTCACAACTCAATAATAAAAAGATAAGTAACCCAATTTAAAAAGAGGTAAAGGATCTGATTAAACATTTCTCCAAAGCAGATATTTAATGTCCAACTAGCACATAAAAATATAATCAACATTATTAGCAATCAGGGAAATGCAAATCAAAACCACAATGTGATACCATTTCACATTCTCTAAGATCTATAATCAAAAGGACAGATAATAACAAGGGTTGATAAGGATGTAGAGAAATTGGAACCTTAATACATTGCTGGTGAGAATGTGAAATGGTGTAGCTATTTTGGAAAACAGTTTGTCATAAAATTACCATATAACCCAGAATCCCTCCCCCCCCACTCAGATATATACCCAAGAGAAATGAAAAGATATGTCTCCACAAAAACTTATATATCAATGTTTACCAGAATTATTCATAATAGCCAAAGGTTAGAAACAACCCAAATGTCCTTCATTTGATGAATGGATAAAGAAAATACATTATATCCATATAATGAATGGACTATAACTTAGCAATAAAAAGGAACAAAATACTGATACACGCTACAACACAGATAAACTTTGCTAAGTTAAAAATGTCTGTCACAAAAGACCACATATTTTATGATTCCATTTATATGAAATGTCCAGAACAGACAAATCAATAGAGGTAGAAAGCAGATTCATGATTGCCAAAGGCCAGGAAAGGAAAAGAGAGAGGGATTGTTCATGGCTATGGGGATTCCTTTTGGTGTGGTCAGAATGTTCTAGAATTGATTATGGGCCTGATTGCATAGCTTTGTGAACATATTTTATTTTATTTTATTTTATTTTATTTTTTTAATTTTTTTTTCAACGTTTTTATTTATTTTCGGGACAGAGAGAGACAAAGCATGAACGGGGGAGGGGCAGAGAGAGAGGGAGACACAGAATCGGAAACAGGCTCCAGGCTCCGAGCCATCAGCCCAGAGCCTGACGCGGGGCTCGAACTCATGGACCGCGAGATCGTGACCTGGCTGAAGTCGGACGCTTAACCGACTGTGCCACCCAGGCGCCCCGTGAACATATTTTAAAAGCATTTAAATGGTTGAATTGTATAGTATGTGAATTACATATCAATAAAGCTATTTCAACAACAACAAAAAATGATCAGAGTGTTCCAAGCAGAGGGAACTGCAGAGGCAGAAAAATATGGTTCATCAACCCAAGTAGTTTGGAATGGTAGAAGTCAGGAGAGAAATCAGAAATAAGCAAAATAATGCTGGAGAGGTAGGGTAGCGCTGGATCAGGAAAGGCTATGTATATCATACTAAGGAGTTTGGATTTATTCCTAAGGAAGAGGAACCAATTGAAGGGCTTACACAGAGGGTGGAAATGACTGGATTTATATGGTACAAAAATGTGTCTGGTCCCTATGAGGAAAATAGATTGGATGGGATCCAGAGATTAGATTAACTTGCAGTAACCAGGCAAGTGGTATATCAAAGAGATATTTAGGAGAAAAAATCAATAGGACATTGCTTAGAGGAAGTAACTTGACCTGACCTTGGATTAGCAGCAGGCACTTATTCACCTTTTGTAGGTACAGAGAGAGTGATACTCCCTTTTACAGTGCCCAATTAATTATTCATATTTTGAAGCCTTCACACATTCACTTTAGGACTACACTCTAGACAGCGATCTATGAAAATGATCCAAAATTCTTTCTACTGCTGACTTTCTCAGTGGCATGAGGCCAACTCCTTATAAGCTTAAATTTCAAACTTTGCCATCTAAAAATATATAATGCGAATACCTGAATATAATGTTCTGGCTTCAGAAACTAAAGGATTAAAGCTTTTCCTAAGGTGAATTAGGAAAAGGAAATTACACAATCAGTGCTAGAAACTGGGTAGCTAAGCAGTTGTTTAAAAATAATTATCCTGAAGAATACAAAGAGCTTAAACAAAAAAGATAGGTTTTAAAAAATTCTTTCCCCAACTGAAAACAAAATAAGGAAAAAAAGGGCTTAAACCAAACCAAGTGGTCCTACAGAAAAATTCCTGATATGGAAAATTATTTAATAGTGGAATGAATAACCAAAGCCAGTTGGGCAACTCTTTCTCCAGTCTTAAAGGATAGATTTTTATATCTCTGGAAAGGCTTTGGTGTAGCCCTGTCCATCAGGAGTGGGGCCAGCAGCTCCTGGGCAGGACAGCAAGAACTTTAGTGAAGGAATGCCCAGAATCTTCCTTCACCCTTCTTAACATTCGTCACAGTGTTCTATAAAGAAAGTTCAGTGAGCTCTAATGGTCTCTTTGCATAAAGGGGCTCTGGATATATTTCTGTATGAAAACAGGAACAAAACTCCCTGCTCACCAGTAGATTCCCTTAAGATACCTACCTTCCACATTGGAGACAAAACCCAAACTCCGCTTCAGATCTGAGCAGATAGAGTGGAGACACCATCGGAATTTTGCATCACAGCGATACTTGTTGGCACCACAGGTGTCATAACAGACATCCAGCTGGTTGCAGCACTTGGTCATTGCTGGAATGCCCAAATCCATCTGGAGAAAAGTGAAGGAAGAAAAGAGAAGGAAGAAAATGCCACGTTTGGACCAAGGACCTTAGGCAACCTTGCCCACCTTGTTATTAACAGGCCAGTTCTCAAATTCCTGTTACACATCAGATCAATTCAGAAATACCAGTGACTTGAGAGAATGCATAAGGTTGACAGCTACAGGATGTTGAGTTTCAATTATGGTTTGGTTATTAGCTTATTAATTCTGAATAGTCCATTTTCTTCTTTTTCTTTTAGATTTAGTAATTTTCAAATTCACAGGCCACTACAGGGATGAAAATAAACATCAGAAGGTTAGTGAAGAGGGCAGAGCTGCAGGACTTCCAAATTTAACTAAAACCTATATTATGTGAGATTTTATTTGAGCAAAAGATTCAAAGGCTCAGAAGTATAAAAAATCAAGGCTCAGTTCATCAAGAGGTCACCAGCATTTATTAGAAACCCATCCCATACACTGTTTTAAAGGCATGTGTCTTGTCTGTATGTGTCAGGGAGCAGAGTGGGGTATAGAACACATGATTCCTGACCATAAGGGGACTATGGTTAAATGTCAATATCTAACACACACACACATAAATGTATTAAGCCTCCTATAAACATCTGTAAATGTTGTGGCATAAACTGAGTAACTTCATAGAATGCCACATCTAGAGTTTGATAACTCTACGTGTTTTTTTTTTTTAGAGAATTATTAGACATGAGGGTAAAGAAAAGAGATAATGAGCAAATCATATGTGAGCAAGTGAGTTTGTGTGGTGTTTCAAGGGTCTTAGCAAGAATTTATTTGTTATTTTTTTAATTAAGAAAGGTAAGTTGGTGGATGGTTCTGACTTCCAAAGTACCTAGTAAGATTTGATAAAGACTCGAGCAAAGAAGGAACATGATAGAATGAGTGATTACAGAGAGTGATCATTCTGTGGTTATGTGAAATAGTTTGGAACAGGGGCATTTAGACTTTGGTAGAGCATCTTAGAATCTTTTGCAGTTCTTTTGATAATATAAACTTGAACCCAAGTGGAAGGTGTGGAAATATGGTTTCACAGTATGGGTGGAGATTGATTAATCAGCTATTATAGATCTTTTCCACTTGGCTCTCCTTAAATGCTCCCTTATCTGAACTTTTGCTCCAAGACCACTTAAAACAGACTATGGACTTTGGTAGTTTAAAATGCCCTTCTGACAGGGCCCCCTGAGTGGCTCAGTTGGTTAAATATCCAACTCTTGATCTCAGCTCACATTTTGATCTCATGGTCTTGAGTTCAAGTCCCACGTTAGGCTTCATGCTGGGCATGAAGACTAATAAAAATAAAATAGGGGCTCCTGGGTGGTTCGGTCGGTTGAGTGTCCAACTCTTGATTTCAGCTCAGGTCATGATCTCACAGTTTGTGAGCTCAAGCCCCACATCAGGCTCTGTGCTGTCACCTTGGAGCCTGCTTGGGATTCTCTCTCCATCTCTGTCTGCCCCTCCCCTGTTCATGCTCTTTCTCAAAATAAATAAATAAACGTTTTTAGAAAAAGCTCTTTAAAAAAAAAATACCCTTCTAAGAAAAAGAAAATAAAATCCATTGTTACAGTAAGAGGTAATGTAACTCATTAGGCTAGGCAACAGCCTGGGCTCTGCAATTCTGGGTAAATTCCTATCATCTGACACCTGAAGGAAACTACTTTGTTCATGCCTCATCCCAAAAACTAAATGTATATCACAGCAGAGGTAACTGAGAATTAATTAGATAGATGAGTATAGTCGCTATCATTCAGTTCAACTGAATTGGAAATTCTTGAACTGGTCCTAGACAATACTTGTACCAGTAAATAAAATGGCATTACTCCCAAAATAGAGTGCATACTGTTGTCAAAAACCAACCTCTGTGCTCCAGAGCTGAAATATGTAATACGAAGACAGATTTAGGGATAAAGAAGGGAGATAGTCTATTACTTTGCCATACAAAGGAGGCTGCAGCAGGCTAATGCCTCCAAGAGTGAAAGCCCCCACCCTGGGTAGGAGGTTGAGGGGTTTTATAGGAAAATACAGGATCTGGGCAGTTGTGATAAGAATGTCAAACACTGGTGCCAGCCAGCCATACCAAGTTCCTGGAACAAAAGATTCTACAGAAAAACAAGTGAAGGGGAAGGGAAAGCTTCAAAACTGAAGAAGAGAAAATTTTGATCACAAGTCAAGCCTTGCTGAAGCAGTGTGTCCATCCTAATTTCCATCCACGTTTACATTTCTTTTTTTTTTAATTTTTTCAAAATTCAATTTAAATTCTACTTAGTTAACATATAATGTAATATTGCTTTCAGGAGTAGAATTTAGTGATTCAATATTTACATATAACTCCTAGTGCTCAACATGTCAAGTACCCTCCTTAATACCCATTACCCACTTAGCCCATCCACCCACCCACCTCCCTCCATCAGCCCTCAGTTTGTTCTCTATCATAAAGAGTTTCTTATGGTTTGATTCGCTCTCTCTCTTTTTCCCCCCTTCCCATATGTTCATCTGTTTCTTTCTTAAATTCCACATATGGGTGAAATTGTATGGTATTTATCTTCTGTGACTGATTTATTTCACTTAGCATAATATACTCTAGCTCCATCCATGTCATCGTAAACGGCAAGATTTCATTCCTTTTGATGGCTGAGCACTCTTCCAGTGTGTGTGTGTGCGTGTGTGTCTGTGTGTATCTCACATCTTATTTATCCATTAGTCAGTCAATGGACACTTGGGCTCTTTCCATACTTTGGCTATTGTTTTCTGTGTTGTTAATTTTAGCCATTCTGGCAGGTATGAGATATCTCATTGTATTTGATTTGTATTTCTCTGATGATGAGTGATGTTGAGCATCTTTTCATGTGTCTGTTAACCATCTGGATATCTTCTTGGGAAAAATGTCTATTCACATCTTCTGTCCATTTCTTAATTGCATTATTTGTTTTTTGGGGTGTTGAGTTTGATAAGTTCTTTATACATTTTGTACTAACCCCTTATCAGATATGTCTTTTGCAAACATCTTCTCCCATTATGAAAATTGTATTTTAGTTTTGTTGTTTCCTTTACAGTGAAGAAGGTTTTTATCTGATGAGGTCCCAATAGTTTATTTTTGCTTTTGTTTCCCTTGACTCAGGAGACATATCGAGTAAGAAGTTGACACGGCCGATGTCAGAGAGGTTACTGCCTGTGTTCTCCTATAGGATTTTGATGGTTTCCTGTTTCACATTTAGGTCTTTCATCTATTTTGAATTTATTGTTGTGTATGGTGTAAGAAAGTGGTCCAGTTTCATTCTTCTGCATGTTGCTGTCCAGTTTCTCCAACACGATTTGTTGAAGAGACTATCTTTTTTCCATTGGATATTCTTTCCTGTTTTGCCAAAGATTAGTTGACCATATAAGTTGTGGGTACATTGCTGGGTTTTCTGTTTTGTTCCATTTATCTATGTGTCTGTTTTTGGCCCAGTACCATACTGTATTAATCACTACAGCCTTGTAATATAGCTTGAAGTCTGGAATCGTGATGCCTCCAACTTCTTTTCTTTTTCAAGATTGCTTGGGCTATTCAGGATCTTTTGTTGTTCCGTACAAATTTTAGGATTGTTTATTCTAGCTATGTGAAAAATGCTGGTGTTATTTTGATAAGGATTGCATCAAATGTGTAGATTGCTTTGGGTAGTATAGACATTTTAATAATATTTGTTCTTCCAATCCATAAGCATGGAACGTCTTTCTATTTCTTTATTTCTTCTTCAATTTCTTTTATAAGTGTTCTATAGTTTCCAGAGTACACATCTTTTACCTCTTTACTTTGGTGTATTCCAAAGTATCTTATCGTTTTTGGTGCAATTGTAAATGGGATCGATTCCTCGATTTCTCTTTCTGCTGCTTCATTATTGGTGTACAGAAGTGCAACAGATTTCTGTACATTGATTTTATATCCTGCAACTTTACTGAATTAATGCATTAGTTCTAGCAATGTTTTGGTGGAGTCTTTTGGGTTTTCTATATAGAGTATCATGTCATCTGTAAATAGTGAAAGTCTGACTTCTTCGTTGCCAAGAAGGATGGCTCTGTGCTGACAGTGTGGAGCCTCCTTGGGATTCTCCCTCTTTCTCTGCCCCTACCCCACTCATATTCTCTGTCTCTCAAAATAAATAAATAAACATTTTTTTAAAAGATAAAAAAGGGGCACCTGGGTGGTTCAGTCAGTTAAGTGTCTGACTCAGATATTGGCTCATGTCATGAACTCACGGTTTGTGATTTCGAGCCCTGTGTTGGGGTCTATGCTGGCAGCACAGAGCTGCTTGAGATTCTCTCTCTCCCTCTCTCTCTGCCCCTCCTCCACTTGTTCTCTCTCTCTCTCAAAATAAATAGACATTTTAAAAAAAGAATGGATGCTTTATTTTGTCAAATGCTTTTTCTGCATCTATTGAGAGGATCATATGGTTCTTAACCTTTCTTTTATTAATGGGGTGTATTGTATTGATTGATTTGCAAATATTGAACCAGTCCTGCAACCAGGAATAAATCTCACTTGATCGTGGTGAATAATTCTTTTTTTATGTACTGTTGAATTAGATTTGCTAGTATCTTGTTGAGAATTTTTGCATCCAGTTTCATCAGGGATATTAGCCTATAGTTTTCCTTTTTAGTGGGATCTCTGGTTTTAGAATCAAGGTAAAGCTGGCCTTGTATAATGAGTTTGGAATTTTTCTTTCCATTTCTGTTTTTTGGAACAGTTTGAGAGGAATAGGTATTAACTCTTCTTTAAATGTCTGGTAGAGCTCCCCTGGGAAGCCAGGTGGCCCTGGACTTTTGTTTGTTGGAAGATTATTTTTCTTGAGAGAGAGAGAGAGAGAGAGAGAGAGAGAGAGAGAGAGAGAGACCATGAGCAATAGAGGGAGGGAGAAAGAATCTTAAGTAGGCTTCAGACCCAGCATGGAGCCTGACTCGACACTCAAATGTGAGCCAAAGCTAAGAGTCAAATGCTCAAC